CTGGGTTCAATCCCCAGTACCACCAAAACAAGTGAACACACAGTTTTTATTGATGGCTCCAGCTCTAATCCACATGGATTATTCTACCAGTTTCTTTCCTTTGCTTATTTGTAAATTCCCAAATAGTTAGCATTTTGGTTTGGATATTAAATTTCCCTGAAAAGTTTAGGTGTTGAAGGCTGGGGCCTGGGCTGATGGCACCACCGGGAGGTGGTACAAATTTAGGAGGTGGGACCCAGTTAGAGGAAATGGGTCACAAGAGGTGTGGCCTTGACAGGATATTAGAACTGTGGCTCCCTTTTCTCTCTCTAACTGGCCTCCATGAGGTTAGCAGCTTTGTTTGTTTTTTTTTTTGAAATCTTTTTTCTGATAAGCCCAGCAGCAGTGGGCCCTCTCAGAGACAATTTCTATTGACTGCTTTTCCCTCCCATTTATATGTCACATTTTCTTGCATGTTTCTTTTATGTTGACAAACAGATGCTTTAGAAGCTTGAGGTTCAGCATCAGGTTGTTTAACTGAGCTCACTCTGTTTTCCTAATATCAATATTCACTGCTATGGGCAGGGTGTGGTGGCGCATGCCTGTAATCCCAGCACTTGGGAGGTTGAGTCAGGAGGATCACTGCAAGTTTGAGACCAGCCTGGGCTACATAGTGAGTTCCAGGTCAGTCTCAACTACATAGTGAGACCCTATCTCAAAAAACAAAACAAAATAGTCACTGCTATGAATTTCCCTTATAAAACTGCTTTCATTGTGTCCCATAGATTCTGGTATGTTGTATTGACATTGTCATTTAATTATAGAAACTGTCTGATTTTTTCTTTAACTTATTGTGTGCTGTTCATTTTCCATGTGCTCATGAAATTCTTGTGGTTTCTTTACTATTGATCTCCAATTTCATTGCACTATTGTCTGATAATGTGCAGGAGATAACTTCAATTTCTTTGCACTTACTTAAACATATTCTATGAACAAGTATGTAGTCTATTTTGGAGAACAAGCCATGTGTAGCTGAAAAGAATGCATATTCTGATTTTGTGGAGTGGAACACTCTGTAAACATCTGTTCATTTATTCAATACTTTGAGTTCTAGTATTTTGTTGTTTATTTTTTGTCTAGATCAATGTGACAGTGGGGTATTGAGGTCCCCCACTACTCTTGTATTAGTGATTATTTGATTTTTCATGTCAATTAGTGTTTGTTTTATATAGTTGGGTACACTACTGTTTGGTGAAATATATGTTTATGATTGTCATCTCTTCCTCTTGAATTGTTCCCTTTACAAGGATGTAGTATCCTTATTTGTCCCCCTTCATCAGTGTTGATTTGAAATCCACTTGATCTGCAAGGAGTATAGCTACTCCTGCTTTTTTGGGGGGGTGGTTCCTGTCCACATGGAGTATTGGTTTCCACACTTTAACTTTCAGTCTATGAGGTTTTTGTTTTTGTTCTTGTTTTTTTTTTTTTTTTTTTTTTTTTTTTTTGGTATTGAGGATCAAACTTGGAACCTTGGCCTTGTGAGGTAGGCAGTGGAACCACTGAGCTAAATCCCTGGCCCCTATAAGTTTATTTTTGAATTAAGTATGTTTCTTGTATAAAACATATTGTTGGATCTTACTTCTTGACCCATTCTGCCAGTCTATTTCTTTTGGTTGGTGAATTGAGACCATTAGCATTGATGGTTATAACTGATACGTATTGACTTATCTTTGTCATGACCTTTTCTTTTTGTTGGATTCTCCCCCTTTGCATTTAATTTCTTGTCATGCCTGATGGATTCGTTCCACTCGGCTTCCTGGGATTGTGAGGATATTGTTTAAAATTTTTTGGAGTGCTGGTTTGGTTATTCACGAAGTTCCTCAGGTGCTCTTTGTAATGAAAGTATCTTATTTCTCCATCAATTTTAAAAAATAATTTTGGGCCAGGGATTTAGCTCAGTGGTTCCACTGCCTGCCTCAAAATTACAAGGTCCTGAGTTCGATCTCCAGTACCAAAAAAAAAAAGGATTGTAAAAGAGTTTTGCAGGGTACATCAATCTGGGTTGGAGGCTGTTTTCCTTTTGGGGTTTAAATTCGTCACTCCAAGCTCTTCTTGCCTTGAGGGTTTGTGTTGAGAAGTCTGTTATGATTCTAATGGGCTGTCCTTTGTATGTGATTTGTTTCTTTTCTCTAACTGCTTGTGGAATTTTGTTCTTCTGTTGAGTTTCTGAAATCTTAAACTATTCTATGCCTGTGTGTAGATTATTTTTGATCATGGCTAGTTGAAGTCCTATATGCCTCACTTACCTGTATATCAAATTACTTTCCTTTGCTTGGGAAGTTTTCTGCCATTACTTCTGTGAATAGTGTTTTTTTTAATGTCATCTGCACTCTCTCCTGTTTCTTCATTGACTCCAATCAGTCTTATGTTATTCTTTGCAAAGTCTAGCAGCTGCTGGATTGATTTCTCGTGGTCCCTTACTATTTTTTTGTGGGGAGTACCGGGGATTGAATTGAGGTCTTTGTGCTTGCAAGGCAGGAGGCGAAACCACTGAGCTAAATCCCTGGCCCCAGTCCCTTACTATTTTTAAGAAATTTTTCCTTTCCTCGTCACTAACTGCAATCCTATCTTCTATATCTGAAATTCTGCCCTCACACTGGCTCATTCTGCTATGTAAACTTTTAGTAGAGTTTTTAATCTCCTGGAAATCTGTTTGCATCTGTTTCATGTATCCCATTTGTTTCCTATGTTGGGATTCCATCATGTTCTTCAGCTCTTCTATTTTTTAAAATCTGTGTCTGCTCTACATTTATTAATCATTCCTTGCACTATGGGCACAATCTCTGTTGTTATCTGAGAAATTATTTCTGATTTGATTTTTTTGAGATCCTTTTTCATTGCCAGTTCAGGGAGTCCAGTGTGGTTGAGTATCAGATTGTTCCATCTCTTTGCCCTTTGGGGTTGCCTTAGGTGATCTGGAAGTCTGGTTTTGAGACTTATTTACATGTCTTCTCACTTCAACAGATGCAGCCTGCTGTGCCCTTGTTGAGGCAACTTTTCGCTCCCCCAGTGGTCTTCAATTCTCAGCAAGCCACCAAATGGCTTTTTCTCTGCTGCTCACCAGGGCACCAATCTTGGGTTCAGAATTGTTGCCTTCTGGATCCCTGAGCTGACCTGTTGTCTGGGTGGGCTTCTGGCTGGGGCCTGTGCACACTTGGGATGATATCTAGGTGTGCCTCTGGCTAAGGCCTATCCTCTTATGTAGCTGGAAGGGCCTTTGGCGGTGGGCTGTGCACCCCAGTTCCTGGTGTCTGAGTAGGCTTATGGCTAGGGTCTCTGTGCACTTATTGATGGTATTGGGTGGGCCTCTGGCTGATGCTTATGCACCTGTGGGGCTCTTTTCCAGGTGGGGCTTTGGCTTGCAGATGGTGTTGGGGCACGGCCCTGGCTGGATGTGCCTGTGGCTGCACTGCTCTGGTCCACACCACTGCTTGCTGAGAGCTGCACTCACTTTCCATCAGTATTGGGGTGGGCCTCTGGCTCTAGATGCTTTAGATGCTGCATATATTGTAGCAACTCTTAAGTTCTGATCCCCTTTATTCGTCTAGGGTTTGTTTTTGTTGCCTTTATTTTTTTAGCGCCTGGACTAATTTAATGGAGTCTCTCCCACGGTGTGAAGTCACTAATCTCTCTGCTCAGCTCTCTTCTTTTCTTTCCCCCTAGGGTCATTCTTGGATCTGTATAATTTAATAATCACTCAGTGCTTAGCCAACCATTAGTTCAGTAAGGCTTCCACTTGCAAATCAATTTGTGTGTGGGTTAAGGATTTTTATTTTTTCCTATACCACAGATTAAACCCAGGGAGACTCCACCACTAAGCTACATCTTCACCTCCTACTTTTTTTTTTTTTTTTTTTTTTTGGTACTGGAGATCAAACTAAGGTCTTTGCACTTGCAAGGCAGGCAGTGGAACCACTGAGCCAAATCCCCGGCCCACCTCTCACTATTTTTTGAGACAAGACCTCCCTACATTGCCCAGGCTGACCTCAAACTTGCCACCCTCCTGCCTTAGTCTCTACTATAAGTGTACAGCACCACCTTGCTGACTTACCTCCAGATCAAGTCATCCCCCTCAGACAGCACAATTGTTAATGTTCGCATCCTGCCTTGCTGTGGTACAACTTAAGGCTATGGATCTTATGGTAGGGTAAGGGTGTTGGGAACAGAAACAGCTCCAAGTTTCTAGACTCCTAGTGTTTTTTACTGAGACTTAGTAATTTTTTAAAACAATACTCCTCAATTTGCTGTATGCCTTCAGTCAATTTCCAAAGTCCTGGTTGAGTTTTGTTTAGTTTTTTGTTATTGTTGGGTTTTTTTGTTTTGTTTTGTTTTTTAATTTTGAGACAGAGTCTCACTATATAGTTGAGGTTGACCTGGAACTCACTATGTAGCCCAGGCTGGTCTCGAACTCACAGCGATCCTTCTGCCCCTCAGCCTCCTGAGTGCTGGGATTACAGGCGTGCGCCACCATGCCTGGCTGTCGAGTTTTATTATTGCTTCCAGGGGAAAATTTTTTTACTGTGTTTCTCACTCAGCCATTTTGGAAGTCGCTTCAGGTATTCATCTTCTATTTACTGATTAATGGCCCTTCTGAAAGAATCAAAATTATCTTTGATTCTGAAAAAACTGAGAGACAGAAACCCACACACAAAAAAATGGAAAGCATTTAGCATAATCAAAGCCAGAGGAAAGTTTTGGCTTACATTTTATCTAATCCCAAATTTATACTGAAAGTAAGTTGAGGTAATAGCTGAGTTAGTTTTCTAAACCCTTGAAATAGATGATCTAGCTGATTATGGAAAAAGAGTCATTCTTCCTAAAATAATAGTGTTTATTTTGGGGCTAAAGTTTTCTGATGAATCTTTATCTTAATTTAGGCTAAATTATTTAGGCTTAAACATAGAACACAACATGAAAAAAGGAATGCAATTTCATTGTTTTTATGGGTTTTTCCCCCCCAGTAACTAGAAGTAGTCTATGGAAATCTTGGAAAGAAAGAGCTATAAAGCTACCTGCAACAGCCCATGCTTTAAGACCAGATCAGATGATTAGTGACCAACTTGCAACAAAAACAAAGGTTTCAGAAATTCAAGATATGCTACAGGAACTTATAGGCACATCAATGTTCAACACATTAGAAAACAATGCTATTAAATACATATCATCAACAATAATAAACTTTTCTAAAGCCTTGAATACACTAAATGATGAATTAAAAATAGTTAACTTCCAAAATATCAGTATGTATGTAGATGAAGCAAGAGAAGAAGAAAACGATCTCTCCCTGAAGATAATCCAAGATCTTAGTGAACAAAATGAAATGCTTACTCAGAGACTTAAAGACGCAGAAGAAAAATGTGAACAACTTATTCGATCCAAAGTTGTTTCAGGACACCGAGCATACATATCATCACCCACATTCTCAACCTTGAAAATGCCACCTGGACTCTCTCCACAGTCATCCATGACCACAGAGGACACTATGGATGGTATTTTAACCAAAGAATTTGAAAATATTATAGATGAATCCCAAAGAAAAGGGACTAAAGGCACCGGGATAAAGTGGGATTCAGCTATTTCATACACAGCTCAAGTTGAAATGACTCCAGATTTAACTGAACAGCAATATATTTTACCTGAAAAAAAGCGGAAAATTCCTTCTCAAGATACTCCTGGAGATAACATATCACTGAAAAAAGATGATAATGATCAAAAAGATGGGGCTGGCGCGTACTCATCACAAAACAGAAAGCTCACAAAAGACCCACATCCACAAGAGACCTCTGAATCAAATCTGAGTACTAGTAAAGATGAACAAAAAGCCTCAGAGGCCAAACCTAGTCAATACTCTGAACTACAATCCCAGGAAAAGAAGAGAAAACGAAGAAAATCATCTTCCGAAGCCAAACCAAAGTCATCTACTGAATCAAAAAGACAACATATCTCTTCTATGGAAACAAAGAGCCAAGATCAGAAAAGTGGAAAAAGTATGCGGGAGCAACTCAGAAAGTTCAAACCTGAATATTCGCTTAGGAAAGGTCCAGTTCCATCAGAGACCAAAGTAGAACCCACCACTAAGTCAATGGACAAAGACACCAAAAGTGAACTGAATATCCTAACAGACCCATTCAGGATGATCAAGCCTGGTTTCACCTCTGAGCCCCAGAAAGCTGAAATGAAAGGAAAGCAAAATCAAGTCTTTTTGGGAACTACCACAAACAAAGAAGAAAAAACTGAAGAGAAAGGAATGTTACTCTTCACTAAAGAAGCTCAGTCTCAGCAACTTGCTAAATTACAGTCAAAGATCACTAAAGAGACTCCAGACAGCAAAAGTGAACAGAGTAACCTAGAATTATTTCAAAAAGCTATACTGGCTTTCCTAAAAGAAAAAATTGATAACACAGGAAAGCCTTTTGATAAAAAGAGTGTATTGAAGGAAGAAGAGTTACTTATAAAAGCAGAAGGTGGAAAATTGGGAGTCATAAAGGCAAAAATGGAGGAATATTTCCAAAAAGTAGCTGAAACTGTGACTAAAATATTGAGAAAATACAGAGATATACAAATGGAAGGACAACTTGGAGAGAAACCTATAAAGCAAAAACAAGGAGTCTCATTTACACCAGGATTGCACTTTCAGGAGTCGTCAATTAATGAAAAGTCTAAAATTAGCTCCTTCCTCTCAAATGAGAGCACAGACCCAATAATTAACAATTTAATACAAATGATCTTGGCTGAAATGGAAAGTGAAAGAGATGTTCCAAAAGTTTTGATAACAGGAAAAAGTCACAAGGAGAAAGGGAAAAAGGAGCAGGAGAAATATTTGCAAGAAGGTCAAGGCCAGATGTCTGGTGTGGATCTTAGATATGATCAAGTAGAAGTAAAAAATCTCTGGAAGGAGAGCTATAAGATAATGAAGGATTTGGAGGAGAAAAAGGCATCGCTCCAGATGAAGGAGGGAAAGCATGGGCAACAGGAGCAGAAACACTGGCAGAAAGAAGAGGTGTGGAGGGAACAGCAGACTCAGCAGGATGAGAAACAAAAACAATGGGAAAGTGAGAGAGAAGAGCAGAAGCCAAAGCAGCAGCAGCTAGAAGCATGGAAGCAAAAGGTAAAAGAACAAGGAGTGCCCTTGGAAGAGAAGGAAAGAGAAAAGATCCAGCAGGTTCAGAAGAAAATGAGGCGTGAGGACCTGAAAATGAGTAGGGAAAAAGATGAGGAGAGACAAAAGTTGAGCAGAGTGATAGAGGACCTCAAAAAGCAGAGACAGAGCACAGCACAGTATCAGATGAAGAAAGAACCTGAAGACTTAGCAAAAATGATCACACAAAGTCCAGTGATATTATCACCAAGGGGGAAGAGCACATTGAAAAATAAAACCCAGTTGTACCAAGAAAGAAAGAGCCAAAGGAATCTCAAGACATTACAGAGTCTTCCAGACGGAAAGCACCCCATAACAGTCAATGCTCCCACCTCCACCCAGTCCTCTCCAACTGGGCCCACTCTTGTTTCTGGGCACCCTCTCACAAAATACATCACTCTCAGTCCTCCGCAGGCACTGGCACTGGGGATCACTCCCACCCCTCAGGAGGTTCAGCAAACAGAGTTCACCACTGGCTCTGTGATTCCTCAGACTTCGGGTATAACACTCACCTCTGAGCAGGCACAGGCTTTGAGAGCTCCTCTTATGCTTGAACACATTTCAAAAATGCAGATGCCTTTCATAGCAGAACAGGCACAGGAAGTAGGCACCATAAGAACTCAGGAACAAGCTCAAGCATCTAGGCTCCCTATTACCCTTATACAGGCACAGAAACTAAAGGAATCTGTCATACCAGAAATAACTCAGGCAATTCAGACCCCATCAACAACTAAAAAGTCACAGATACTTGGAGTTCCTATTACCCAAGGGAGAACGGAGGCCTTGAGAATTTCTCATACCCCGCAGCAGGCTCAGAATCTGAGGATCACTCTAACCCCCCAGCAGGCTCAGGCTCTGGGGATCACTCTGACCCCTCAGCAAGTTCAGGCACAAGGGATCACTCTGACCCCTCAGCAGGCTCAGGATCTGAGGATCACTCTGAGCCCTCAACAGGTTCAGGACCTGGGGATCACTCCGGCTATTCAGAAAGTTCAAGCTCAAGAGATCACTTTGACCCCTCAGCAGGCCAAGAACTTAGGAATCCCTCTGATCCCTCAGCAGGCTCAGGTGCAAGGGATTCCTTTGACCCCTCAGCAGGCCCAGGACTTAGAGATCACTCTGACCCCCCAACAGGTTCAGGACCTGGGGATCACTACGGCTGTTCAGAAAGCCCAGGCCCAAGGGATCCCTCTGACTCCTCAGCAGGCCCAAGATCTGGGGATCACTTTGACCCCTCATCAGGTTCATGCTCAAGGGATCACTCTGACCGCTCAGCAGGCCCAGGACCTGGGGATCACCCTGACCCCCCAGCAGGCTCAGGCTCAAGGGATCCCTCTGACCCCTCGGCAGGCCCAGGATCTAGGGATCGCTCTGACCCCTCAGGAGGCCCAGGATCTGGGGATCACTCTGACCCCTCGGCAGGCCCAGGACCTGGGGATCACCCTGACCCCTCAGCAGGCTCAGGCTCAAGGGATCACTCTGACCCCTCAGCAGGCTCAGGCTCTAGGGATCACTCTGATCCCTCAGCAGGCCCAGGATCTGGGGATCACCCTGACCCCTCAGCAGATTGAGGCTCATGGGATCACTCTGACCCCTCAGCAAGCCCAGGGCCTGGGGATCACCCTGACTCCTCAGCAGGTTGAGGCTCAAGGGATCACTCTGACCCCTCGGCAGGCCCAGGACCTGGGAATCACCCTGATCCCTCAGCAGGTTCAGGCTCAAGGGATCACCCTGACCCCTCAGCAGGCCCAGGACCTGGGGATCACTCTGACCCCTCGGGAGGCCCAGGATCTGGGGATCACCCTGACCCCTCAGCAGGTTGAGGCTCAAGGGATCACCCTGACCCCTCAACAGGCCCAGGATCTGGGGATCACCCTGACCCCTCAGCAGGTTGAGGCTCAAGGGATCACCCTGACCCCTCAACAGGCCCAGGATCTGGGGATCACCCTGACCCCTCAGCAGGTTGAGGCTCAAGGGATCACCCTGACCCCTCAGCAGGCCCAGGACCTGGGGATCACCCTGACCCCTCAGCAAGTTGAGGCTCAAGGTATTCCTTTAACCCATCAGCAGGCCAAGGACTTAGGGATCACTGTTATCCCTCAGCAGGCCAAGGACCTGGGGATCACTCTCACTCCTCAGCAGAAACAAACTCAATGGATCACACTCACCTCTCAGCAAGCTCAGGCATTTGACACTCCTTTGACCTGGCAAAAGCTTGCCACACTGGCTCCTTCTACTCTTGGACCATTTCAGGAATTGAGGGCATCTTTTTCTACTCAGCGGTCCATTATATCAAGATTATCTCCAAGGCCTAGGCTGCCCCTGACATCTACTCCTCCTACTGAGAAAATCACTTTACCTGGGGTTTCTCCTTTGCAAAAATTAAGACCTCTTCTCAGCCAAACCCCTATTACTCCTGGTAGACACTTAGGAATGAGCATTCTTTCTGCTCCTGGAAGGCTCCTGGGCCCACAGATTCTTCCTGCCTCCAGACAGAAGCTAGTAATTAAAGGTCAAGCTATTCTTACACCATCCCTGGCACTAGAGGTTTCTTCCCCTCCTGGGCATTGCCCATTATCTGGGGCCCCTCCCACTACAGAGCAGCCCCTTCAATCAGAGGCCCTAAACTCCAGTCACTTCTTCATACTTGGAAGCCCTCTGACTTCCGGGCCACCTCTGGATTCTCAGGCCACTGTCATATCTAGAGTCCCTCCCACGTTTGGACAGATTCCCAGACGCTGGGCTCCTCTCTCTCCTGGGCAGCACTTAGTTCCTGGAGTTTCTTCCATGCATAGGGAGGAGCTCCTGGAATCTGAAACCTTAGCCTTCTCTGCACAGTCCCAGGGATTCCAGCCTCCTGCCACCCCTGAGCCATCTCTGCAGACCCCTTCTACTTCCAGGCAGCCTCTGGCACCATGGACTCTTTCCGGGCAAGTTTCCCCATTATGGATCCCTCCCACCCTTAGGCATACCTCCACACTCTGGGCTTCCCCAACCCCCGGGAAGCCTCAGAGAGTTTTGTCTTCTGTCACTCAGAAAAGATTGGCAGTTGTTTCTTCCCTAAAATCTAAATCAGCAGTGGTCCAGGCAAGGACTACAGATTTCAAGGTATCTCAAGCTCCTTTCACCACTAAGAAGGTCCAAATATCAGAGCCTCCTGCCACTTATGAAGAAACCCAGATACTCCAAGATGCTTGTGTCATGGAACCATTTGAAACAATTCAGTCATCTCTCACCAGTTACAGGACACCAGTTTCACAAACCCCTTATACTGATGAGGCGGTCCTTCCCACTTTCATGAAGCCTACATCATTAACTTCTCTTATTACTCAGCTACCCAAAATGCCACAGAGCTCACCTGAAAGGGACCAGAAATCCCAAATCCCCTCTACAGACCAACTCTGGATACTGACCTCAGTTTCAGGTACCAAGAAACCCAAAATGATGGTGCCTCCTTCCTCTCCTAAAGAGCTTATGGAGAAGAGGTATTTTGTTGATGTGGAGGCTCAGAGGAAGAACCTGGTACTATTAAGTCAAGCCACAAAAACTTCTGGACTCCCCTCACAGCAATACACAATGGCTAGGAATCTCATAATTGGAACACTTCATATGGACACAGTTCAACTGGGATACCTTCTCCGAAAGTACATTGCCTATCGGCTGATCCAGTGTGTCAGGTAAATGTAATTATTACATGGTTTTCTTCTTATATGCCTGTAAGTCTACTCATATATGTCAGATCATAGGCTCTAAAACATCCTCTTATAGTAGGTCTGAAGGATGGAAACTTATTTAAAATAGCAAAAGGAAAGGCTGGAGCGGTGGTACACACCTGTAACCCTAGCACTCGAGACTGAGTATAAGGGTTGCTACAAGTTTGAGCCTGGGCTATACAGTGAGTTCACGGCCAGCCTAAACTACATGATGAGACCTTGTCTCAACCTCCTCCCCGCCCAGAATAGATAGCAAAAGGAGGATGTATTTTTTTATTTTGGGAAATAAGTGATACATACATAACATGAACTATATCATCCATTTATATCTCTGGTTATCTCCAAAATATCAACTTCAGAAGTTCAGTGAATACCAGTTATTCTGAATTTCTTTCATCTTTGGTTCACCAAAAGACATACGACTTTTTGAATGAGAATGGCAGGTTGTATAAGCAACTTTGCTGCTGCCCTTGATTTTTTTTTTTTTTTTTTTTGGTACTAGGGATTGAACACAGATCCTTGCACTTTCAAGGCAGGAAGTGGAACCACTGAGCTAAATCCCTGGCCCTGCCCTTGCTTTTTCAAAATTGTTAATATGTATCAGAAATTAGTCAAGGTAAGTAACAATTGGCCTGCTATCCTCAACACTTGCATTTGAAGTTACTAATATATTATTTAGGTTGCAAATTTAAAATTACAGGGGCCAGTGGTGCCGGCACCTGCCTCACAAGCCAAGGTCCTGAGTTTGATCCCCAGGACCAACAAAACAAAACAAAACAAAAACAGGATGCCTAAGTAAAACATAATAATAGAACAGGTTTTCATTAATTGTTGGAATAATATAAAATTCATTTAAGAAGTATTTGTTGAATACTTATAATCTGCCAACTATTGTTCTACATGCTAAGGCTATAGCAAGGAAAAAAACAAAGACCTCTGTTCCATGATATAAATTTATTTATTTATTTAGACTCGATCTCACTATGTTGTCCAGTCTGTTTCTGTCTTGAGCTCTCTATGTAACCCAGGTTGGTTTTAAACTTATGATCCTCCTGCCTTAGTCTCCTGAGTGCTGGGATTATAGGCATGCATCACAATGCCTGGCTTGAAATTTACATTTTTGGGACCAAATTCATTTTGAAACAAAGGATTAGAACAAAGTACAAAAGGAAGACCTCTTCAAGCTATAATCAGAACTTTTAATTTAATTTAATTTTTATTTTGTTTTGTTTGTTTGTTTGGCAGGTGCAGTGCCACTGAGCTAAATTCCTGCCCCCACTTTTTTTTTTGAGACAGGGTGTTGCTATATACTTCTAACCTTGTCATGATGATCCTCCTGCTTCAGTCTCCTGAGCGCTGAGATTACAGGCATATGTCACCATATCTGCAGAATTTTTAATCTGTCATCTGAGATGTGTTGAAAAATGTTTATTTTACACTTGTATTTAGTTTTCTCTTTCCATACTGAGTAACCTTAGTCTTTTGAATCTAATTTTTACACGTAAACATTTTCATCCACTTGAGAATGTTAAGTGACACATTTCTGTTTCTCTAAACTGGTCATCTCCAATTCCATGTCTTTTTTCGTTTGTTATATTTAATTTTTTTAAAAGTCATATATTCACATGGTAACAAGACTCAAAAAATGCAAATAGTAGAGTGAAATTTTCTCTAATAGACCTCTTTCTGGCCAGCCAGGGTCCTCCCATGGGCTACCAATGCTAATGAATGTCCATCTAGAAATATTTCCTGTGTATGTAGCATAGGACATATGCTTTTATTCCTCTTTTTATATATTTTAAAGCTATATGATTTTTATAGCATAACAGATATTAGGTGTTGGATATATTCTTAAAGGTATATAAAGAATGTACTGATTTATTGCATAGCTATGTAGTATTTCAAAGTCTAGATTTACCAGAATTTATTTAACCTCTGGTGGGTATTAATGTTGTTCAATATCTTGCTATTATAAAAATAGGTTGTAATGAGAGAGTAATCTTACATATACATTATAATTAAGAATTTCAGAATCAAAGAGTAAATGCCAAAGAAGTAATAATTTATATATTGATAAGTATTATGAAAGAATATCTCCCCACATCAAAACTAGCATGGGGTGTTAGTAAACTTTTTTGTTCACTGACAGTATGATAGATGAAATATAGCATATAACATTTTTTGTTTTATTTTACATTTCTTTTATCATGTGTAAGGTTAAGCATTTTTCATAGATTTAAGAGCCATCTATATTTCATTTTCTCTAGAAGATCCTACTCAAATATGTTATCTATGTTTTAAATTGGATTGTCAAAATTTTTAAAACATTGATTGTATAACCTGTTTGGAAAATTAACCCCTTGTTTATAATATAAATTGCTAAATTTCGCCCATGTATGCTTTGATTCTTTTTATAACACTGCTTTGTAGAAAGTTTTGATTTGTATATCTTTAAATACACCAATGTTTTAAGTAATATATTGTGCTTTCTTTGAAATACATTTTTAAAATTCTTTCTTGGGGTGGGGAATTTAGTTCTGTGGCACCGTTCCTGCCTCCTAAGAGTGAGGTCCTGAGTTTGATCTCTGGTACAAAAAGAAAAAAAATTTTTTTTCTTGAGCTCGGTGTGGTAGCTCATACTTATAATCTCAGCATCCAGGAGGCTGAGGCAGGTGGATCACTATGAGTTTAAGGCCAGCCTGGATTACATAGTGAGGTCAGGACCAGTCTAAACTACATAGCAAGACCCTGTCTCAAAAAATAAATAATAAACTATAAAATAAATAAATAAATAAAATTCTAGGTTTCATTTAGTGTTTTAAATTTGGTTATTAGTTTTTGTCTTATAGTTAAGTCTGTGATTTACAACTTGCTGTTATGAATTATGTACCTCATTTTTTTAAACATGGCTACTCAGTTACAGGGTCACTATTTGCAAGGCCAGCCTGGGTTACATAGTGAGTTCAGGATCAGCCTCAACTACATAGTGAGACCCTGTTTCAAAAGAAAAAAAGATCTGATAATGATACCTTTCTATAAAGCCTTATTACTCATTTTAGAACTAATTATCTTTTTACTCATATTGCATGTTTATATTTCTTGATTTATTAATCTTTTATTCTAGATTATAAATGTTTCAAAGACAAGGATAGTCTTTTTCAGAATTCCATGGGTCCTATACATACCAGTATTTTTTAAGTATTTTGTCCACTAAGATAATTTTATTACAAATCAGTATATTTGACTTTTTAATAAAATAGTAATTCTGCAATACTAAAAAAAATGTGTAGTGTTCAAATTTGTTCAAATGTGAAGTGTTCAAAAGTTACTCAGGGCCAGGGATTTAGCTCAGGTGCGAGGTCTGGAGTTTGATCCCCAGTACCAAAAAAAAAAAAAAAGTTTATTCATATAGAGAACTAGCATAGAAGCTCATTAAATACGCTTCCCATCCCCTACCTCTTTACTTACTAGGGATGAGATGGGAATAGAAAGAAACTGAGCCGACTCAGTAACTGTATCAATCTAACTCTTGATAATTTTTTTTAAAGAAACAACATAATCAAACGATTAAAAGCCAGCCAAAACACTGGGAAAGGTTATGAGACCCAGAACCTCTACATCATGCTAAGCAGAATTGATGATTATCAGAAAAGGGTGATGGGGGTTTGGACTGAAAAGGAGAAGTCTCTAGAGCAGAAACGAAATCAATGCCTGAAGAAAATGATGCACTTATTTAGCCAGGTAACCTGTTTTCCATTCTCTTTCTCTAGTGTGCTGTAAATATATATATGCACATACATATATTGGTGTCCTAGGGCTGCTGTAACACAATTATCACAAATTTGATTTAAAATTACATACTTTATGGAAAAGGAAAGGGGATCTAGGGATGGAGGGAGATGGGAGGAGGAAGGAGAGAGAAAGGGGAAGTAAAAAGGATCAAGATGTATATGTATACACCAGTTCCCCATATTAAATGTATTTATTTATGCACATACATATATTGGTGTCCTAGGGCTGCTGTAACACAATTATCACAAATTTGATTTAAAATTACATACTTTATGGAAAAGGAAAGGGGATCTAGGGATGGAGGGAGATGGGAGGAGGAAGGAGAGAGAAAGGGGAAGTAAAAAGGATCAAGATGTATATGTATACACCAGTTCCCCATATTAAATGTATTTATTATATGTCACAAACATATACTAGTAAAAAGGGAAAAAGAAAAAATAAATGCAGCTTCATAAATAAAAAAAACCTATGGAAATTCACTCTCATAGTTTTATTTTTTCCCTTTTTTCTTTATTGGTACATTTTAGGTATACAATACAGTTACATTCAAAATTGGGATCTTGTACCTTTATATGATGTCTTTTGGTGCTTACTTTTTTTCCATTCCCCTGCCTTCCCTTCACCCCCTCCACCCTTCTCTATTTACAGAGACTTTGTTTCCATTTTTTTCTTTTTCTTAGTTTTTCTTTTCCCTTCTTAGCTTTCCCCTGCCCCTTCCACTTCTCCTACACCTTTAGACATTTTTCCCTAATACACAATATCAATTATACATTTTGATTATTTATACTTTCAGTTTATCACACCAGAGGAACTATTTGGTATTTACATATGTGGGTCCTGTTCATTTCACTTAAGAGTATGTACTCAATGTGCATCCACTTAGCTGTAAATGTCTCTAGTTTCTCGTTCTTTGTGGTTGAGTAGTACTCCATTTTATTAAAACACACACACACACACACACACACACACACACACACACACACACACGTCTTTTTTATCCGGTCTCCAGTCAATGGGCAATTAGGCTGTTTCCAAGTTTTAGTTATCACAAACTGTGCTGCTATAAATATGGGTGAGCATATATCACTGTGGTATGATTCTTTTAATTCTTTTGGGAAGATACCCATTAGAGAATGGCTGGGTCAAATGGAACTTCTAATCCTAGTTCTTCTTTTTTTTTTTTTAACTGGGATCCTGTACCTTTACATGCCAGGTCTTGGTTCTCATTTTTTCCCCCTTGAAATCCTAGTTCTTTGAGGTATCTCCATATTAAATTCCATAGTGGTTGCACCAGTCTGCACTTCCACTAACAATGAAGAAGGGTTCCTTTCTCCCCACAACCCCACCAACATTTTATTGGTGGATTTCTTGCTAGCAGCCATTCTTTCTGGAGTGAGGTGGATCCCAATGTTGTTTTCATCTGCATCTCTTGAATGACCAGTGATGTTGAACATTTTTTCATATGTTTATTTTCTGCTTTTACTTCTTTGTCTGAGAAATGTCTGTTCATTTCAGATGCCCATTTTTGAATTGGGTTTATAACTTTGGGGGGTCTGATTGTTTTGAGTTCTTTATATATTCTGGATATGAGACCTTTGTCTGAGGAGCAGCTGGTAAGAATGTTTTCCCACACTGTAGATTGTTTCTTAGCTCTGTTGGTGGTTTCTCTTGCAGTGCAGACGCTAAACACTCATTATCAGCCAATCTTTAGAACTCAGGGGAGGCTGGTGATGTAGCTCAGTGGTACAACTCTTGCCTAACACATGCAAGGCTCTGAATTCCATCCTCAGCACTTGTACTTATCAAATCCAGCCAGCTGCTCTGGGCTTACATATTGGTAGCCAGCCATGACGACCCAAAAACCAAGCACCCACTCAGAAGCGACTGTCCATGATGAGGTGGTGGAGCACAAGAAGCACAGGGCGAGAGCAAAGGAGGGTAATACTGGGCTGGCAGAGAAGATCTGAGCTGCACTCCACCCACCGCGCACGTAGCCCCTACTCTTGTAGTTTTAGAGGCCTGAGTTCATGCAATCAGAGTCTCAGGACTGGCTCTTGCTGGAAGCTCTGAGAAATTGTTCCATGCCTCTCTCCTAGATTGTATGGCTCTCAGCAGTTGTTAGCATTCCTTAGTTTGTAGCCGTACTATTCCAGTCTCTGTCTTTAAGTGGCCTTCACTGTATGTCTTGTGTCCTCTCTTTTTCTCCTCTCTCCGGGTCACTGAGTTACTCAGATCGGGCTCAAACTTTTGATCCGCCTGCCTTAGCCTCCCAGCATTCTGGGGTTGCTGCTATACACCATTGCCCCACTTCCTCTGACTCCTATGAGGCCATGCGTCTGTTACTGGATCTAGGACACACTTAATTCAGGACAATTTCATTTTAAGATCCCTAACTCATTTATATCAGCAAAGATCCTTTTTTTCAAATAAGGACACATTCATAAGTTCTGGGTGGACATATATTTTGGAGGACACCACTCAACGCATTATGCCATGATTTCAGTGAAATTTCCACATTGACAATAGTTATACTTGCTGGATCTCTAGATGAGAAAAGAATGATGAGAATAGGAGAAACGCTCAGTTGCTTCCTATTTAACTCACATTTATCCTCAAAACTATCAGGAAGATAGTTTTAAAACTTCCATTTACAAAAGGAGAGGGTGAAAAATTAAAAAGAGTGAACAAAAGGACAATAACATGACAATAATAAGTCAGTACATATCAGTTATAACCATCAATGTCAATGGCCTCAATTCACCAATCAAGAGAAATAGACTGGCAGAATGGATTAAGAAGCAAAATCCAACAATATGTTGTCTACAAGAAACACACCTAGTGCAAAAAGAAGCCCATAGACTGAAAGTGAAATGATAGAAAACAATTCTCCATGTGACAGGAGCCAGGAAAAAGCAGGGGTAGCAATCTTATTCGCAGACAAAGTAAATTTCAAACCAAAACTGATTAAAAGAGACAAAGAAGGCCACTATATCCTTGTAAAAGGAACAATTCAAGAGGAAGAGATGATAACCATAAACATATATAATGTCCCCCACTATATAAAACACATATTAAGTAATGTGAAAAACCAAATAAGCACTAATACAATTGTAGTGGGGGATCTAAATTCCCCACTATCACAGATAGACAGATCATCTAGGCAAAAAATCAACAACAAAATACTAGAACTGAACCAAGCTTTTGAACACATAGACTTAATAGTTGTCTATAGAGTGTTTCACCCCACAAAATCAGAGTATACAGTCTTTTCGGCTGCACATGGGTCATTCTCCAAGACAGACCACATACTAGCTCACAGAACAGGTTTGAATAAATGCAAAAGAGTCAAAGTTATTCCCTGTATATTATCAGATCATAGTGTGATCAAGCTGGATATCAATAGCATAAGAAACCGTAGGAACTTCACAAACACATGGAAATTGAACAACACTCTCCTGAACAATCAATGGATCACAGAGGAAATTAGACAGTTTTTACAAATAAATGATAATGCCAGTACAACATACAGGAATCTATGGGACACAATGAAAGCAGTTCTTTGTGGAAAATTCATAGCACTGAATGCCCACAATAGGAAAACAGAATGAGCTCAAATAAACAATGTAATGATGAATCTTAGACTCCTAGAAAAACAAGAGCAAGAAAAACCCAAAGCTCATTCAAGAGAGGAAATTATAAAGATTAGAGCAGAAATCAATGCAATGGAAACTAAGAAACCGATACAAAAAAATAAATGAATCAAAGAATTGATTTTTTGAAACAATAAATAAAATTGATCAACTCTTAGCTAGCCTTATCAGAAAAAAGGAAAGAAAAGGCTCAGATCCATGCAATCAGGAATGAAAAAGGTGAAGTCACAACAGATCCAATAAATCCAGAGGATCATCAATACCTACTTTGAAAATCTGTACTCTAATAAAATGGAAAACACAGAAGAAATGGACAGATTTCTAGATACTTATGAATTACCAATGTTGAATGAAGAAGATAAAAACATTTTATTTTATTTATTTTTTTCAGCTTTAATTGAGTTTATTGGTACATTTTAGGGATACAGTACAGTTACATTCATTGTTGGGATCTTGTACCTCTACATGACAAGTCTTGGTTCTCATTTTTTCCCCTTGTCCCTGCCCTCCCTTCACCCCCTCCTCCCCTCCCCATCTACAAACACTTTATGTCCATCTTTTCATTATCTCACATTTTTTTCTTTTCCCTTATTACCCTTCTCCTACCCATCCCACCGTCCCTACACCTTTAGCTCCTTTCTTCCCATTTCTAGATGTCAGTAATCTTATTAGGATCTTCTGTATTATCGCAGATTATTCACACGAGAGGATAAAAACATTTTAAATACCCCAATTACAATCAGTGAAATTGAAAATGTAATTAAAAGTTTACCAACAAAGAAAAGCCCAGGTCCTGATGGATTCACTGCTGAATTTTACAAGACATATAGAGAACTACTGCCACTACTCTTCAGACTTTTCAGTGAAATTGAAAGGGAAGCAATACTTCCAAATTCATTCCTGGAAGCAAGTATCACTTTGATTCCAAACCAGGAAAAGACCCAACTAAAAAAGAGAACTATAGGCCAATCTCCTTAATGAATATAGATGCAAAAATCCTTAATAAGACACTAGCAAGCAGAATACAGAGGATCATCAAAAAGATCATACATCCTGACCAAGTCGGATTTATTCCAGGGATGCAAGGACGGTTCAACATACATAAGTCAAAAAATATAATACACTATTTAACAAAGTCAAGGACAAAAACCATATGATCCTCGCGATAGATGCAGAAAAAGCATTTGACAAAATTCAACACCCATTCACGATAAAAACCCTGCAAAGAGGCCGGGGATTTGGCTCAGTGGTCCCGCTGCCTGCCTCACAAGTGCAAGGACCTGAGTTCGATCCCCAGCACCAAAAAAAAAAAAGCAAAAAATTGGAATAGATGGTCTATATCTCAATTTAATAAAGGCTATATATGAAAAACCAGCAGCCAACATCATATTAAATGGCCAAAAACTGAAGACCTTCATGTTAAAATCAGGAACGAGACAAGGATACTCACTATCACCACTCCTCTTCAATATAGTTCTGGAAACATTAACCACAGCAATTAGACAAGAGAAAGAAATTAAAGCAATAAAGATAGGAAAGGAAGAAGTTAAATGGTCATTATTTGCTGATGATATGATACTCTACATTGGAAACCCAAAAAACTCCACCAAAAGACTTCTAGACTTAATTGACACTTTTAGCAGAGTAGCTGGATACACGGTCAACACCCAAAAAGCAATAGCCTTCTTGTACACAAATAACAGACTCACTGAGAGAGAAATTAGGGAAAGAATTCCTTTCACAATAGCATCCAAAAAAATGAAGTATCTAGGAATCAAACTAACAAAAGAAGCAAAAGACCTCTATACTGAAAATTATAGCACTCTGAAAAAAGAGATTGAAGATCATATAAGAAAATGGAAAGATATCCCCTGCTCCTGGGTAGGAAGAATCAACATAGTGAAAATGGCCATACTACCAAAACTGCTATACAGATTCAATGCAATACCAACTGAAATTCCAACACTATATTTCACAGAACCAGAAAAAATAATCCAAAAATTCAGTTGGAACCATAAGAGACCTAGAACAGCAAAAGCCATCCTAAGCAACAGAGACATGGCAGCAGGTATAACAATTCCCAATTTGAAGTTATACTACAAAGCCACTGTGATAAAACAGCATGGTACTGGCAAAGAAACAGACCTGAGGATCAGTGGAAGAAATTGGAAGACACAAAAACAACTCCAGATGTACTCAGCTATGTCATCTTTGACAAAGGAGCTGACCATCCTCACTGGAGGAAAGATAGCCTCTTTAATAAGTGGTGTTGGAAAAACTGGATCTCAACCTGACAAAGATTAAAACTAGACCCTTATCCTTCACCATGCACTAAACTAAAATCCAAGTGGATTAAAGATCTAAATATTAAAACAGAAACACTAAACTTGCTGGAAGGTAAGTTAGGCAAAACTCTTGAAGACATTGGCATAGGAAAAGACTTTATGAACAAGTCCTCAGTAGCACGGGAACTAGCAGAAAGAATCAATAACTGGGATCTCATCTTGTTGAAAAGCTTCTGCACTGCAAAAGAAACCATCAACAGAACTAAGATACAACCTACAATGTAGGAAAAAAATTTTATAGCTGCTCCTCAAAGGACTACTATCTAGAATATATAAAGAACTCAAAACAATCAGCCCCCCAAATATAAAGACGCAATTCAAAAATGAGCATCTGAAATGAACAGACATTTCTCAGACAAGGAAGCAAAAGCAGCAAGTAAATATATGAAAAAACGTTCCACATCACTGGTCATTCAAGAGATGCAGATGAAAACAACACTGAGATTCCACCTCACCCCACAAAGAATGGCTGCTGTCAGGAAATCACACAATAACAAATCTTGGCAGCGTTGTGGGGAGAAAGGAACCCTTCTCCATAGTTGGTGGGAGTGCAGACTGGTGCAACCACTGTGGAAATCAATATGGAGATACCTCAAAGAGCTGGGACTAGAGGTTCCGTTTGACCCAGCCATCCCTCTGCTGGGTATCTTTCCAAAAGAATTAAAAGAATCATATCACAGTGATATATGTGCACCTATGTTTATAGCGGCACAGCTTGTACTAGCTAAAACTTGGAAACAGCCAATTGACCATCAATGAAGATGTAGTTTTTCTATAAAATGGAGCCCTACTCAGCCATAAAGAATGAAAAATTAGATTCATTCATAGGAAAATGGATACATATTGAGGATATACTCCTAAGTGAAATAAATAAGTCACACATGTGTAAATACCAAATAGTTTCTTTGGTGTGAAAAACTATAATAGTACAAAAGATCCTAATGGTATAATTGACAATGTGAAATAGGAAGAAAAGGGCTAAAGGTGCAGGGAAAGTGGGAAGGGTAGGGGAAGGGTAATAAAAGAAAAAAATAGAGGAAAATGAAAAAATGGAAACAAAGTGTTTGTAAATGGGGAGGGGAGGTGAAGGGAGGGCAGGGACAAGGGGAAAAAATGAGAACCAAGACCTGTCATGTAAAGGTACAAGATACCAATAATGAATGTAACTGTACTGTATACCTAAAATGTACCAATAAACTCAATGAGGAAAAAATAAATAAATAAAACTTCCATTTACAACAAAGGAAAAAAAAGGATTTGTGTAACTTGGTTACAGAGCATCAAGAACAGATGCTCCTGTTACACTGTAGCACCCACTCATCATGTCTGTCCCAGGACCTCTTCTGAGATAACTATCGATATGACTTTTGGGGTGATAGCGACTTTCCAAAAGGTTATAGAGCTAAAATTAGAGTTCTTTTTCCTGGGAGTTGGAATCTCCTAGCACAAATTAAAGTACTGATAATGAATACCACAAGCTAGAGTTCTAGGAACATTTTTTATTTATTTTTTTGGTACCAGGGATTGAACTTGGGACCTTGTGCTTGCGAGGCAGGTGGCAAAGCAATGAGTTAAACCCCCGGCCCCTAGGAACATTTTTATATCAATAGATCCTTTTCTTGCATTAACATTGATTGTAAGTTTTTCTTACTTTCTACTTTGGCAGGCACAAAGAGACTTCTCATAATAGCCTAATCCAAACTCCAACAAATATTCTGAATTTTCCAGTATTGCTACATTTTAAATATTATGTTTTTTTGTCCAAAAAAAATCAATATGCCCCACTTTTTGACTGGGCAAATAGGGCCAGTGTAGACACAGTAAAGCAGGATGAGTTGGCAGCAGCATGAACTATCCCACAGGAATGACAATGTCTAAGACATTACAGGAGATGAATGTGGATGCAGGGTCAGGAAAGTCAGAATTCGATGATAGAGTATAGGTATCAAGGCATAAAATGGGGAAAGGAAAAGCAAGAGGGATTAGAGGGTAAATATGTTACACTGAATCAGAGTGGTGGTTGAAAGGGTTAGCTCTGCTACTAGATTGTCTAGGTTCAAATCAACTTTCCCATGGGCTAGCTAAGTGACCTTGGACAACTTGAGTTTTCTAAGTCACAACAACTCTTACATTTTCTGAGACTCAGATAAGCAAGACAAAGATAACAACATTACCTACTTCATGAGTTTGTTATAAATGCCAAATAAACTGATATATGGAAAGTAGCTGATAACGGAGTGTCTGCCATTCAGTAAATATCAGCTTTCGTTATCTTTGCATAGTGCTTCGTAATTTATAAAGCGCTTCTATCTATCATACAATTCTCACAACAATCCCATGTTATTTCTTATTGTTTATTGGTACATTTAAGGTGAACAATATAGTTACATTCACTGGGATCTTGTACCTTTACATAAGCCATCTTCTTCTCATTTTGCCCCATACCCCTGCCCTCCCTTCACCCCCTCCACCCTCCCCTATTTAAAAAGACTTTGTTTCCATTTTTTTCCTTTTCTCATATCTTTTTCTTGTCCCTTATTGTCTTTTCCCTACCCTTTCCACTTCGCCTACTCCTTTATCCCTTTTCTTCCTATTTCACATTATCAGTTACACATTTTGAATCTTATTTACACTTTTAGTTTTTCAAACCGGAGAAACTATTCAGTATTTACACACGTGTGTCCTATTTATTTCACCTCAATGTGCATCCATTCAGCTATAAATGTCTCTAGTTTCTCATTCTTTATAATCTTATGTTATTCTTTAAAAAAATTTTGTGTGTGTGTGTGTGTATGGTACTGGAGATTTAACCCAGGGTGTTCACATTGACCTATATCCCCAGCCCTTTTTAATTTGTAATTAATTTTTAAATTTTGAGACAGGGTCTAAATTGCTAAATTACCTAGGCTGGCCTTGAACTTGCTATCTTCTTGCCTTAGTCTGCCAGAGTGCTGGGATTATAAACCTTCATTACCGCATTTAGTATTATGCTTGTTTTAGAATGAGGAAAAAGCCAGGCTTAGCAGCACACACCTGTAATCTCAGCACCTGGGAGGCTAAGGCAGGAGGAGCACCGCAAATTCAAGGCCAGCCTGGGCTACATAGGGAGTTCAAGGCCAATCTTAACTACAGTTTCACTATAGTGAAACCTTGTCTCAAGGAGAGAGAATGGGGGGGAGAGGGAGAGGGAGAGAGAGAGAGAGAGGTAGGTGAGGATAAATAAAGCAAATAACCCAAAGTCTCACAGCTAGGAAATTAGACAAATAAGACTGGAGTTTAAGTAGGACTAAGGTTTTCGTATATCATAACTGCTACTTCTGAAATCATGCACATGGGAAGTGAAGCAGAGGAAGAGGATGTACAACTCTCTAGGAAAGAAGTGATAGTTTAGTCCTGATCAGTTTAGAAAACCTTCCTAAAAATTTTGGCCCTTTGTTTTCATGTTTCTTTTGTATTACACTTGATCTTAGTCAAAAGACTGCAAAATGATATGGTGATTCCTTTTCTTTTTCTCATTTATAGTTCCAAGAGATGTATAAATTGAATCTTAGTAAACCCATCCCCTTGATAGTTGACAAAAAGCAGATACCTGCCTCTACCAAATTTGTTCCACCGCCATTGCTAGAGTTACTAATTGAAGAGGACAAAAAATCTGACATTTTCAAGAAACTTAGGTATGTGATAGAAAGACTGACACAAAACTTTATATGATAGGTGGCATATTTATTGATTTACTTAAGTTCTGCCCAGGAGCTTTGCCTTACTCCCAGTTGTGATAGGGTATAGGGGAGAGTCTTTGGGCATGTTAATTTCCTTAGCTAATTTATCAAGATATTTACTAACTTATACTTCTACTTAAATATTTAACATTTGATTTTGAGTTTCTTCAAGAAAAAATAAGCTGATTCCTTCTAAGAAACCAGTTTTAAGAACGTCTAATGAAGAACTGGGAAACCTTCACCCCTCTCTCCTTCTCTTCCCTGCTCCCCCTGCCCCGTCCCTTTTTCTTCCTCCCTTCCCACTCTCCCTCCCTTCTTCCTCACCCCTTCTCTCTTTTTTTCCAAAGAAGGGAAGTTTTGGAAAGGACAAGGGAAAGATATATGATCTATGTACTTCATGAAGCTAAGAAGATAGTTTTAAAATAGGTGACTAGGTGAAGTTATCTGAATACAGCTTTGTTAGCTATTTCAGTCTTTTCATCCATTCCTCTGTCAAAATGAGCATTGCAAAAGGAGGGCATTACAGGACAAGGCGGTGGCAAAGAGAAGGAGGAAGAATAAGATTCATATTTTCCTTGGCAATGGAGCTCAGGAGAATTTGGCCACTTATACTTAATGCTTTCTGATTCTGTAGACAAAAAGAAGCACTGAGGGAGGCCATTTGGAATGCTGATCTATCCACCTCAAGCTACCCAATAACAGAGAAGACATCAATAACGTCACTCTGGGCTCAGCTGGGTGGGTACCCAGACATTCCTAGGCTGCTCCAATTAGATATTCAGGCTACCTTCAGAAAATCTCTTGCATCCATTCAATCACGGTAAGTAAAGGACAGGGAGCATTCTGGTAAGTGGGCTTTTGGCTGTAAACCTATTATTTCCTAATTTGACTTTCTCTTTCAAACCTAATACCAAAAATAAGTGTGTACACAGGGGATGTAGTTCAGTGGCGCTGCACCTGCCTGACAAGTGCAAGATCCTGAGTTTGATCCCCAGTACCAAAAGCAAAACAAATAAGTGTATATGGCATGAGGTTAGGTTCATACCAGTCACAAAACATAGGTACACTGAGAATTAGTCGGTATTTCTCATTATAGGCTTATAGGTGCCACCACTGAGTAATAAACAAACAATTATAATGCCATGAACTTATTCTAACACTTGATTGTTCCACTCATTAAATCAGCTGGGTGCAGTTGCCCATGGTTGAAGTCTCAGCATCTTGTGAGGCTGACCACAAGAGGATTACTTGAGTCCTCAAATTTGAGACCAGCTTGGGCAACAGAGTGAAACTATGACTAAAAACAAAAACCGAAATGACTAGAGGTAAATTAAGTGCTTATATTCCAAAATATACTGAAGAAAAAGTATAGGTAAGTAAAATAATCATATGGTTACACATTTCTGAATTCTATTCAATTAGATTCTCATTATAACCACTGGAAATCATTCTAGTGAAAGTGAAGAACTTTGGTGTCTGCATTATCTCTTTCTGGAAGAGAATTATTTAATATTCTAAACCAATAATTTAGAAGTAACTTTGGTTAACCTGAAAGTTCACAGGAGCTTTATGATTTATTTTGTGAAATCCAGTCCTGAAGTAAGAAGTAGTATTAACTCACAAAAGTGTTCCGGTAGTAGATACTATGAAATAGAACATTTGAAATCTATGATATACAGGATACAAAACCAACACACAAATATCAGTTAGATGTAGTGGTGCACGACTATGATCCCAGTACTCTGGGAGACCGATACAGGAGGATTTCAAGTTCAAGCCCAGCCTGGGCAATTTAGCAAGATGCTGTCTCAAAATACAAGAAATAAAAAGGGCTGGCTTCCTCTTCTCCTTGACCACTACATACTCTCAAAACTCAAAGGTCAACTATCCTGTAAATCCTAGGTTAGTAATTCTCCTGGGCATCTGGTATCTATTGTCCTTTATCTTTAGCTATTAATCTTATTGTGGTTCACAAAGACTTCCATTTTTCCATACTATTACATACAAAATATGTATTAAGAGTTTCTAAATTGAAAATTACGTGTGTGAAAACTTCCAGAGCAGGAGACACCAAAAGCAGTGAAAAAATTAAGATATGATAGGAACTTAAACTAAGCATGGTGGTACAGGCCTATAATCCCAGCTACTCGAAAAGCTGATTGATGCAGTGCAGGAGGATTGGAAGTTTGAGGCCAGCCTGAGCAACTTAGTGAGAGTCTGTCTCTCCTATAAAACTGTGTGTGTGTGTGTGTGGGTGTGTGGGTGTTGTGGACTGGGTGTACAGCTTGGTGGTAAAGTGATTTGCATGAAGACCTGAGTTCATTTCCCACCCCACTCCAAAATTATAGGAAATAAATAGAAAAACTGAAATCTTTAAACTTTTTCTTCTCCTGAAAAACTTATGTTCATTAAAAAACAGAATACAGGAAATATCAGGTTAAGATACATTAGTAAAGGGGCCGGGGATTTAGCTCAGTTTTTCCGCTGCCTGCTTTGCAAGCACAAGGACCTGAGTTTGATTCCTGGTACCAAAAAAAAAAAAAAGAAAAGAAAAAGAAAAAGGACACTATATATTTAATTACTATTTAGCATGCTCCCCGCCTCTTTTTTTTTTTTTTTTTTTTTTCAGAGACAGGGTCTCACTATGTAGTTGAGACTGACCTGGAACTCACTGTGTAGCCCAGGCTGGTCTTGAACTCACAGCAATCCTCCTGCTTCAGCCTCCCAAGTGCTGGGATTGCAGGCATGAGCCACCATGACCGCCTACCCCCTTTTTTCTCACTAGAATCTCCTCAGTCTTCTCCTCAGAGAGGATGATATCTATGTTACCCTGTTGCAGATCATGTGCAAACCAATGACTGTTTCCTCTGAGTTAAGTTATTCTTCCTATCCAGTAGGTCTCACTTTAAGCAATTCTCTTTCTAAACTGCCTATTTTGACCCCTCCTGTATGTTTCCAATGTACCTTATAACTACCACCTGATTTTAGATAATGTTTTGAGATTATCTGTTAACTGTGTTCACCTGCCTCTACTTTTTTAATTTTTTTTTATTTTTTAGTGTTGGGGATTGAGACCTGCTTCTACTTTTGTTCTACCCACTTTCCTTTCACAAATATTTATTGAATACTTACTAAATGCCGGGCACTAGACACTGAGGCTAGGCATGGTGGTGCATGCCTGTAATCCCAGCACTCAGAAAGTTGAGGCAGGAGGATTGCCATGAGTTTGAGGCCAGTCTTAACTACATAGTGAGATCCTGTCTTAAAACAAAAAAGAGCCGGGCGTGGTGGTGCACGCCTGTAATCCCAGCAGTCGGGAGGCTGAGGCAGGAGGATCGCTGTGAGTTCGAGACCAGCCTGGGCTACACAGTGAGTTCCAGGTCAGTCTCAACTACATAGTGAGACACTGTCTCAAAAAAACAAAACAAAACAAAAACAAAAACAAAAACCTCAGCCAGGCATGGTGGTGCATGCCTGTAATCCCAGCACTTGGGAGGCTGAGGCAGGAGGATTGCCATGAGTTTGAGGCCAGTCTTAACTACATAGTGAGATCCTGTCTTAAAACAAAAAACAGCCGGGCGTGGTGGTGCACGCCTGTAATCCCAGCAGTCGGGAGGCTGAGGCAGGAGGATCGCTGTGAATTCGAGACCAGCCTGGACTACATAGTGAGTTCCAGGTCAGTCTCAACTACATAGTGAGACTCTGTCTCAAAAAAAACCAACAACAAAAACCTCAACAATGAGATAAAATATGTAGGAAGGTTCTAAGATCATTAATGCCAAGCATAAGGAATAATATACATAAAGATTCAGGGCCGGGCAGGGGCTTTAGGTCAGTGGTGATGTGAGGTCCTGAGTTCAATAAAAAAAAAAAAAAAAAAAAAAAAAAAAGATTCAGGGCCTGTAGCACATTGCTTCTTTTGTTTTATCTCCTAACAACAAAGAAACAAGCCAGCTGGGGATGTAGCTCAGTGCCTGCCTGCCTGGCAAGTACAAGATCCTGAGCTTGATCCCCATTACTGGAAAAGAAAAAAAAAGCAAACAAACAACTCTCCCCAAAATTAAAAATGCCTGTTCTTCAAATAACACTGCTAAGAGAATAAAAAGATGATGCACAGAATGAGATAAAATATTTGCAAGGCACATATAATAAGTGAGCTGTATAGCACTTTCAACTCTCAAAACTATAAGAGATCCTGTGTTTGATCCCCGCTACCAAGAAAAAAAAATCCAATAAAGATGGGCAAAAAGTTTAAGCAAGGGACAGTTAGTTATGTATGGTAAAGACATGCATGAAAAGTGTTCAACACTGTTAATCAAATAAAAAGTAAAACCCCAATGATCTCCTACTACATGCCTATTAGAATATGACAATTAAAAAGACGAGCAGCTGGGCATGGTGGCGCACACCTGGAATTCCAGCACTTGGGAGGCTGAGGCAGAAGGATTATCTCATTATCTTATTATTCGAGGCCTGGCTGGGCTACATAATGAGGTCAAGACCAGCCTGCCCTGCAGAGTGAGACCCTGTCTCAAAGAAACAAAACACAAACAAACGAACAAACAAAAACTGAGCATACCACATATGTTATGAAGGCACTCACACACCTTAGGTACTGACATAAATTAGTATACCCACTTTGTAAAATAGCTGGCATTTCCTAAGCTAACCATATACCTGAAATATGACTCCCAAGTATTTATCTGAGAGAAATGAAAGCACATATCTATACAATGATGTGTATATGAAAATTCATAGAAGTTTTATTTTATATAGTGAAAGACTAGATATAATCCAACAACATGTGAGTAGGTAAACTGTGGTATTTAAATAAATACGGGAGTATTATTTACTCAGCAATAAACAGAATGATACACGGCATAACATAGGTGAATTCTAAATCACTATCCTGAGTGAAAAAAGACAAACAGTACATGCTACATGATTCTGTTGGTATAAAACTCTAGAAGATGAAAACTACTGGCAAAGTGAGGATCAGTGAAGTGGACAGTTGACAAAGGAGCATGAGAAAACTTTTGGGGGTGACAGATATCCTGAAGGTGATGAGGATTACATACATGTGTCAAAATTTATTGAATTGTATAACTTAATACATGTAATTTATTAAAAGTCAATAATAACTTAGTAAGGCCATTAAAATTTCTTTTTCCCCTCTCACTGAGTTTATTGACACGTTTTAGGTTTACAGTACAGTTACATTCATCATTGGGATCTTGTACCTTTATATGACAGGTCTTGGTTCTCATGTTTTCCTCTCGTCCCTGCCCTCCCTTCAACCCCTCCTTCCCTCCTAAAAATTCTTTTAAAAAAAGGTGGTGTGATAGAGCATGCCTGTAATCTGAGTTACTTAGGAGGCTGAGGCAGGAGAATCACAAGTTTAAGGCCAGTCTGGACTCTGTAGTGAGAGTCTCAAAAGACCAAAACTTAAAATAAATAGATACACAAATAAATGAAGGGGGATATAGTTGAGTTGTAGAGTACTTACCTATCATTCATGAGCCCTTGGGTTCAATCTCCAGGAACACAGACACACAAAATACCTAAAAGAAAATATCTATAATCTAATCTATAATCGGTCCATCACTGCTCAAATTTTAAAAAACAAAAGCTTAAACCAAGCCTGTAATCTCAGCTACTTGGGAGGTTGAGACAAGAGGATCCCAAGTTTGAGCCCAACCTGAGAAAATTACTGTGATCCCCAAATCAAAATGAAAAGGGTTGGGATGTAGCTCAGTAGTAGAGTGCTTGCCTAGCATGTGAAAGGTCTTGGGTTCAATCTTCACTACTGCAAAAAACCTC